GGCCACACAGGAGGTTGCACCCAGGGACAAGGTCACAACAAACTGGAATTGTGGAATGCTTATGTATGGCAAGCAGGGTAGGGTTAGATAAGCTTTTTTGTTTGTTTGTTTTTTGGCTTCCTGAGGATTATTCCTTGAATAATTCTGCAGGCCCAGGGGCCATAGAGGCTGTCCCTAGTTGTTAAATACCTGCTATGTTATGGGGCAATTAGGATGAGTGCACAGTGGCACAGGAGTCTGAGAATATGATAAGGGGAGTGGTTGAAGAGTGGACTTAATTGCTGCTCAAGAAGTGAAAAGTACCAACCTCTGGCTGGGGTCTCAAAACTATCAAGACAGCATTTTAAGAAAATTGTATTACATTAGATCATTTGTGATATTTGGGAACTCTGTAGTTTATGATTTCTTCCTCTCGAGAATTGCTATAGGAAATAAATATCCAGCATTTTTCACCATATCTTGGGCTAGAGTTGATTCCTTTTGTACTCCTGCTTTTAGTGGCTGGAAATGAAGGTCTGTCTTAAATAAGTTTCCATAAATCTCATTTTCCAAGATACACTACCTTGTTTTGAATAAATGAAATCAGAGGCAATCTGCAACTAAAGCCATAACATGAGATTTCCTTGTTACTGTTGTTAGGTGCCATCGAGTGGGCTCTGACTCATAGTGACCCTGTATACAACAGAACAAAACCCTGCCTGGTCCTGCACCATCCTCATGATCTTTGCTATGTTTGAGGCATCGTTGCAGCCACTGTATCAGTCCATCTTGTTGAGGGTCTTCCCATCTTCACTGACCCTCTGCTTTACCAGGCATGATATCCTTCTCCAGGGAATGGTCCCCTCTGACAACGTGACCAAAGTTAAGTGAGATGAAGTCTGGCATTCTTGCTTCCAAGGAGCATTCCAGCTGCACTTCTTTCATGGCAGATTTGTTCATCCTTCTGACAGTCTATGGTATTTTCAATATTCTTTGCCAATACCACAATTCAAAGGCATCACCTCTTCTTCTTCAGTCTTCCTTATTCAGTGTCCAGATTTCATATATATATATGAGGCAATTGAAAATATCAAGGCTTGGGTCAGGTGCATCTTAGTCTTCAAAGTGGCATCTTTGCCTCTTAACATTTTAAAGTGGTCTTTTGCAGCAGATTTGCCCAGTGCAATATGACATGGAGTGCTGCTTCCATGGGTGTTGACGATGGATCCAAGTAATATGAAATGCCTGACAACTTCAGTCTGTTCTCCATTCATCATCATGTTGCGTATTGGTCTAGTTATGAGGATTTTTGTTTTCTTTGTGTTGAGGTGTAGTCCTTACTGAAGACTGTAGTGTTCATCAGTAAGTGCTTCAAGTCATCTTCACTTTCAGCAAGTTTGTGTCATCTGCACATTCCAGGATGCTAATTGTTCTTCCTCCAATCCTGATGTTGCAATGTCGTGTTCTTCATACAGTCCATCTTCTTGGATTATTTGCTCAGCATACAGATTGAGTAAGTATGGCAAAAGGATACAACCCTGACATATACCTTTCCTGATTTTAAACCATGCAGTATCCCCTTGTTCTGTTACAACAACAGTCTCTTGGTCTATGTACAGTTTCCTCATGAACACAACTAAGTGTTCTGGAATTCTCATTCTTTGCAATGTTATCCACAATTTGTTATGATCTACACAGCTGATAGCCTTTGCATAGTCAATGAAACACAGGTAGACATCTTTCTGGTATTCTATGCTTTCAGGTAAGATCCATCTGACTTCAACAATGATATCTAATGTTCCACATCCTCTTCTGAATCCAGCTTGCATTTCCGGAAGTTCCCTGTCAATATACTATTGTAACCATTTTCAGATTCTCTTCAGCAAGACTTTACTTGCATGTGATATTAATGATGTTGTTTCAATAATTTCCACATTCTTTGGGATCACCTTTCTTTGGAATGGGCACAAATATGGATCCCTTCTAGTCAATTTCTTGCATAAATGAGCAAGCGCCTCCTGCACTGCATCTGTTCGTTGAAACATCTCAATGGCTATTCCATCAATTCTTGGAAACTTTTCATCAATTCTTTCATTGCAGCCTCAACTTCTTCCTTCAGTATCATTGATTCTTGATCACAGGCTATCTCCTGAAATAGCTGGACATTTACCAATTCTTTTTGGTATAGTGACTGTGTATTTCTTTCATCTTCTTTTGATGCTTCTTCTATTGTTTAATATTTTGCCCATAGAATCCTTCAATATTACAACTTGAGGCTTGAATTTTTTCTTCAGTTCTTTCAGCTTGAGAAATGCCAAGCATGGTCTCCCCTTTTAGTTTTCTAACTCCAAGTCTTTGTACATTTCATTATAATAATTTACTTTGTCTTTTTGAGTGCCCTGTGAAATCTTCTGTTCAGTTCTTCTATTTCAGCATTTCTTCCATTCACTTTAGCTACTTTACATTCAAAAGCAAGTTTCAGAGTCTCTTCTGACATCCATTTTGGTGTTTTCTTCCTTTCCTGCTTTTTAATGACCACTTGCTTTCTTCATATATGATGTTCTTGATGTCATCCCACAACTTGTCTTGTCTTTCAGTATTGGTGTTCAATGCATTAAATCTTCAGATAGTCTCTAAATTCAGGTGGGATATAATCAAGGTCATATTTTGGCTCCTGTGGACATATTTTCGTTTTCTTTAGCTTCAACTTGAACTCACATATAAGCAAGTCTGTTGCACAGTCAACTCCTGGCTTTGTTTTGACTTATAATATTGAGCTTTTCCATTGCCTCTTTCCACAGATGTAAACAATCTGATTTCTGTCTATTCTATCTGGCTTAGTCCACATGTATAGCCACTGTTTATGTTGTTGAGAAAAGGTATTTGCAATGAATAAGCCATTGGTCTTGAAAATTTCTATCATGCAATCTCCAGCATCATTTCTATCACCATGGCCATATTTTCTAACTACTGGTGATTCCTCTTTGTTTCCAACTTTCACATTCCAATCACCAATAATTATCAATACATCTTGATTGGATGTTTGGTCAGTTTCAAACTGCAGGAGTTCATTACAATCTAATCTCTTCAACTTTGGTGTATAAGGTTGAATAATAGTAGTATCAACTGGTCTTCCTTGTAGGTGTATGGGTATTATCCTATCATTGACATCATCGTACTTCAGGTTGTCCTTCTGTGGTGGCTTGTGTGTTGCTGTGAGGCTGGAGGCTTTGCTACCAGTATTTCAAATAACATCAGCGTCACCCATGGTGGACAGGTTTCAGGGGAGCTTCCAGATGAAGACAGACTGTGAAGAAAGTTGGGGCCATCCACTTCTGAAAACACTGGCCACTGAAAACCTTATGAAGGGCAGTGAAGCACTGATATATTACTGGAAAATTTTATGAATAGCCATGAAATATTGTCTGATATACTACCTGAAGGAGGGCCTAAGGCAATGGTTCTGAACTGGGGTGCGATTTTGCTCCTCAGGGGAGTTTTGGGTGTTACAAGTGTGTGTGTGTGTGTGTGTGTGTGTGTGTGTGACTGGGCATGTACCCGTGCAGGAGCAGGGCAGAGATTAGTATCTAGTGACAGACGTCTCAGGTTACTAAATATCCTACAATGCATGGGACAGCACCCTACCACAAAGACTTCTCTAGCCCCAGATACTAAGAGTGCATAGACTGAGAAACCCTGGGCTAAGATGTTTGGAGAGGGTTGTACCTTTTACCATATTCTCTGAAAGGAACTCTGGTGGCCGCTGTTGTTAAGGTATTGGGCTTCTAACCAAATGGTAGGCTTTGCAACCCACCAGGGGCTCCCTGGAAGGAATATGATGGATCTACTTCCTTAAAAATTTATGACCTTGGAAACCTGATGGGGGTCGCTATGATTGTGAATTGACTTGATTGCAGTTGGTTTGGTTTTTTTAATACTCACTAATCTTTGTACCACCCACTGTAGGTTTTTGTTAAATGTACAAACAAGCAAGGCGCTAAACAAAAATATTATGGGCAATGCTTAGAAGGCAAGCCCACACGTCAAGAGCCAATGAGAAAAGGTAGTGCAATATATATGTACCCTAAATAAAGCAGAGGCTTGGGTGCTCAAGTGGCTCTGAGAGCACTCCAGAAAGCCCAAGGCTCCTTGATTCAATTTAGACAAGACCTTGAGCAAACAGGAAGTAGAGTGGCACCATGGAAAAGCCAAAAGTGACAAATCACGATCAGAAAACTGTAGACTTCCAGGCTTTGATTCTGGGCAATCTGGTGCTTACTGTTCTTCAAATTTTTTTATTTATAAGAATTGCTTTTCAAGGTATGGACCTAAAAACTAATGAAATTTATGCATGTTCTCCTCAAAAATGGAGAAAACGTTCTTGCACAAAATCTTGCATACATTTGCTCAGGGACTTTGGAGCCCAACGATCTATCAAGAATCTTCTAACAGTCCAAATCCGTGAACCCAGAGGTTAGAGGGCCGGGGTGGGGCCAAGGAGCTGCGGGGCGGGGCAGCGCTGGCGGCAGGGCGCTCACAGTTTCCGCCCACCCTCCCCGGAAATCCTGTGTCACTGTGCGTCGCAGGCGTAAGAAGTGCTTCCTGGAAAGCCGGCTAGGTCACAAATCATGTGACTGCCGCTTGCAGAGGAGCCTGCTTCTGGGGGTGCCCCTGAAGTGACAGCCGTTAGAACCCAAACATTCCCTGGAGCAGACGCCCAGGTAACTGGTACCACTTTGCCCGACATACAGGCTTGTACCTGGCGATAGCGGGGGAACATTGTTGGGGGGGGAAACGGGAGAGGGCGTCCTTTTGGATCCACGTCTGGGGAAAGTGTTGAATTGGCTGAGGCAAGATACCCTGGTTACTTGTCTAGATATTGGGGAACTCCGACTCCTTCGGTCTCCCTGGTCCAAGTTCTAGAGCCACGGAGTCCAGACGAGAGCTGAACTGGCTCTTTATGCTTGGGGGTGGAGAGAGCCAAGAAGCATTAAGGAAATAGTCACCAGGGGTTTCTCTTTCAGACGTGGAGACTGATCCTGCGGGAGAAGGGGGTTCATCATGGCGGACGTGAGTTGACACTCCCACATACGAAAAAGGAGAGGATGGGGGTTTGGAGGAGGCTCCTGGGCGGGAAGAAGTAGAACTTCCCAAGTATAGATTTTTGTCTTACGGCCCCCTTCCAATCTTTTTCCCATAAGATCTGGATTGGGAGACTAATATGAATGGATTTGCGGGGTTCTGAGTTTCTGCCTAGAATTGAGAATGGAGAATAGACACTAAGATTCTTGAAAGTGAGAAAATTATATTCTCACACTCTAAATCCTGCAAGCATAAGAGAGGCATAATATATTTACCATTTGAATTTCTGAATGATGGTATTCAGTATTTCTGGTCAGTATCTGATAAATAGGACAAGTGCACAGATTTTTTTTCCTCCCACTTAGTGGTTATTAGGTCTCACTTGGGATTATTGTAACAATTTGAAATTCCTCTTTAGGACAGCAATAAAACCAAATTCTGAGTTTAGGGAACTTAATTGTATTCATTACTGGAAAATGCAGAGAATTACTAATACTAATAGCCCTATTTTACATCCTGTTGTTATCTTGCTGGGTATTTTTCTGAACATTAAACCCGGAGTAATTCACTTAATTTTTATAACAACATTCAGAAGGTGGGTACTAATGTTATTCCTCTCTTACAGTTGAGGTTACTGAGGCACAAAAAGATCAACTAACTTGCCCAGGGTTACGCAGTGGTCAAGTCAAGAGACCAATATAGACAGTCTGACTCCACAGTCTATATGCTTCAAAACTTTACAGACGTTTTATGTCTTTACACCTTTTTTCTTAAGTACCTTCCATTATATTTTGGAGGCTGGCGGTTCGAACCCACCAACCACTCCTTGGAAGGAAGGTTGGGCAATCTACTTCCGTAGTGCTACCACCTTGGAAACCCAAGGAGGGGTTGCTATGAGTTGAAATCAACTCAGCGGCAGTGAGTTTGGGTTTGTTTTTTATTTTTCAGACATAATCAAATCTTTAAATATTGAGCATTTGCCTTGCAGAAGTTTCTGTGATAAGGGTTATGGGTAAAATAGACTTTTTAAGATTGATAAAGTAGAGTCTCACTGCCGTCGAGTTCCTTGGATTTCCAAGGAGTGTGTCTATGGAAGTAGGTTGCCTGGTCTTCCTTCTAAGGAGTGGCTGGTGGATTTGAACCATCAGCCTTCCAGTTAGCAGTCAGATGCTTTAGACAGAGTAGGGACCATTTAAATCGTGACTGCACAAGGAAACTTGCAGGGAATTCCTCCAATCCAGGCATCAATATTTTAAAGCTTCCCAAATGATTTATATAGAAAAGTTGAAAACTGCATTAAAGGCTTTAGAGAAGAAGGATATGATTGGCACAGTGTAGAATGGGATGGAAGGAAATGGGAGACCAGGATACTAGTTGGAAGACTAGTGGAATTCATAAATAATTAAAAGGATAAGAACAGTAGAAAAAGACAGAGATCAGTTCAGAAAGATTTTATTTGACAAATGATTTAAAAGTGGCAAATGTGAGTTAGGGTTAGATGTTACTCTAGATTTCAAAACTGAAACCAGAGTTGGCAATGCCATTAGTGGAAACAAGAAATTGAGGAAATCTGGATTTGGGGAAAAACAGGATAAATTCAGTTTGTGTGTGTTTAAGATGAGAACAAGGGAATACGGTAGTGATGTGTTCAGGTTAGAGAATTACAGGGTTTAGAGATTCCAGAGAACAGATAACTGGTCATCTGCATTGAAACCTAGATTGTCAGTTTCCCCAAATGAGAGACTATAATGAGACAAAATAAAATAGTCTACCATTTCTTTAGTTATGATAATGATTTAGCAGTCAAGTTTTTTTTTTTTTTTTTTTTTTTTAAGTTAGGTAGGAGCCTTGGTGTGGTACAGAGGTTAAAGTGCTCAGCTCCCAACTGAAAGGATGGTGGTTCAAACCCACCAGCCATTCTGCTGGAGAAAGATGAGGCAGTCTGCTTCAGTAAAGATTTACAACATTGGAAACCCTATGGGACAGTTCTGCTCTATTCTATATAGGGTTGCTATGAGACGGAATCTACTTAAGGGCGGTGGGTTTGGTGTAAGAGGGAGTCCCGTGGGTGATGCAAGCAGTTAATGTGCTTGCTGCTGGCTGAAAGGTTGGTGGTTCTATTCCATCCAGAGGCACCTTGGGAGAAAGGCCTGTTGATGTACTTCTGAAATAATCAGCCATTGAAACCTTATGGAGCACAATTCTTCTCTAACACACATGGGGTTGCCATGAGTTGAAATCAACTGTTTGGCGACTGGTGTTTTTTTAATTTACATTTCATGCTTAGTATTTTATGTAATCACTTATCTTTAATCATGTAAGAATCATTAAAAGTGATATTAGAAAAACTTATTCATGAATATGGAAAGATGATCATAATATATTCACAAGAGAGCACAACAAAAACAACAGGATGTAAAATAGTATGGAAAGTGTAATCTAATTTTACAGCTAATGTGTATTTTTGTTTTCCATATGCATATTCTCAATAAACTTTAACAGCAGTCCTATGAAATAGATTTTATGAGTGTCCCTACTTTACAGATAATGAAACTGAATCTAAGAGACAATGTTAGTTAACTTGCTTTAAGTCACACAATTAGTAAATATCAAAATCAGAAAGATAAAGATAAAATACAGTCAGGAAAGGTTATGAATATGATTTAAAGTTTCTGAAATGTGGATAGCATGGCATCCAGAAAACAGTGGAAGACATAATATTATAATAAGATTTTTTTAAATGTTTTTGTCTTTTAGGACCTAAAGAGATTCCTGTATAAAAAATTACCAAGGTAAAAAATTAATTTATTACTGAATAAATTGTACATGACAGAATGTAGATATTTTGTTTCTGTTTATTTTAGATTATATCACTATATAATATAAAGTGCTATTATTTATCACTTTCAAATAACTTACTGTAACTTTAAGTGGTACCAGTGATGTACTTTGAGTCTGCAGATAGATAATGAGACCTATAATAGTCACCTGACTTTTCTGAGGTTAAAAGCTAGGGCATGCTAGAGAGCTGGAACTCAGATTTCTTACTACTTTAGAATTCTTGCAAATATACTATGATAACGTTTTGTTAAATTACATGTTTCATTATAGTAATTTCAAGGGAAGAAAAGTAATAATTTGCTTTAACATTTATTACTTTTAAGACCTAGTTGCTGAGTCTGCATACATACTCTGAGAATGCCATACTCAGATAGCAGTTCATACTTGAAAAATGTCTTTTTTTGCCAGCACACAATCCATTTGCTGTAGCATTTTATAAATTAAGCTCTTGTGTTAATGTCAGAAAACATCTTTTGAGATACTTTGCTGATTCAAAGGACATCATTTCTTTAGTGGAATTCCCCATGCAAAAATGGTGCCTTCTGTGATAGTTACCTTTCCTTTATGCCCACACACATTTGCAAATAACTCAAAATTCCAGAGAGTTGAAGAAATCGGGGATATGACTTGAGACATCCAGTCTAACATTCTTGAATATGTTTATTCCAAATTGATGGAATAACCTTTAAGTTACTGTACCAGAAAATGTGGTGAGATCTTTTTTTATTTCTTAGGTTTTAACCTATAGATAGAAAAACTGTTTGTATTATGCTTGAATTAGTTTAGTGTAATTTGCCTATTAGCTTGTGCCCTAAACTATTCTAACTACAAAGCACTAGAAATGAATAACATTTTCTCATTTTGATTCATCTTTTTCTTCTGTAGAGAGAAAACTGTTGAAACATTAAATAATTTTTACTGTTGATTTTATGTTAATGAAATACTAAATCCAATTTACCATTATTGGCAAACTATAAAAAGAAGCTACTGATTCTATTCTCATCTCAATAGTTAGCAATATAGGCATTTCTGGGTCTTCATGAAAGTTCAGGGTCATAAAAATGACTGTGCAAGCTAAAAATGTATAAAGCAATTGTAGCAATCAAGGGGGAAAATGACTGGTTTCAGTGTGACCTTTAAAATTATTTGTCGGTATTAAAAACTCTTGTTCCTGGTTATGAATGTTTACAGGAATGAATAAAATACTAAAACTAATATTTGTTTAGTACACTATACTTTAAAACATTGAGAATTAAAATGTTTTATTTCTTTGTAAAAATTTCTCTAGAGTAGTATGGATAGTACCTCCTTTTTGTCACAGGGCTAATGAGATCAGGAACAAGCAACTTTTCTGTTTCTTAACAAATTGTGGTACTCCTTTCTCAGTTAAGATCAGCTTTCAACGTTTTATTCTTTGTGCTTTTAATGTTGTGAAATATCTCTGAGATTTCCTTTAAAGTGAAGTTTTTGGCTGGCATCACTTCCCGTGAGCCACCTTCACTGTTTTCATCATAACCACTTTCCTCATTTACGTAAGTAAACTTGCCTTCACTAACTTCCTATGGCTATAGATCTGGAGGCTAATGGTGCCACTGTCAATGTTAGCCTCGGTCTGTCACTGTAACTCCATTTATATGCAATTCGAATTTCACATCCAGCATTATCACTTTCCATTTCTTTCCTGCATTTGCATCTTTGTTAGCTAGTTCCCTCTTTCACTTACCCATTTTTGTAAAATGTTACATAGTTCATCACTGGGAGACAGGGAGGCTAAAGAGCTATATGCTTTGCACAGCATGAATATTGTTAGCATCTTTATTCATAATTGACAAAAATTGAGATCAACCAAATGTCCTTCATTGGGTGAATGGGTAGGCAAATTAGTACATACATACAGTAGACTATTATTTAGCAATGAAAAGAAATGAACTACCAAACCATGAAACGTGGAGGAACCCTAAATTCATACTGCTTAGCTCTGGTGGTGTAGTGCCTAAGGCATTTCACTGCTAGCCAGAAGGCTGGCAGTTCAAACCCACCAGCCACTTCTCAGAAGAAAGGTTGGGCAATCTACTTCAGTAGTGATACCACCTCAGAAACACAAGGATGGGTCGCTGTGAGTCGGATCCGACTGACGGCAGTGAGTTTAGTGAAAGAAGGCAGTCCAAAAAAGCTATGGATTGGATGATTACCATTCTCACTATATGGCATCCTGGAGAAGGCAAAACTCTAAAGACAATGAAAAGATCAGTGTTTGCCAGGAGTTTAGGAGGAGGGGGGAAGGATAAATAGGTGGAGCACAGGTAGTTTTAAGCCATACTATTTTTATGGTACTGCAATTTGTCATTGTAGATACCTGTCATGCATTTGTCAAAACCTTTGGGACAGTACCACACACAGAATGAACCCTAATACGAGCTATGGAGTTTAGTTAATAATAATGTATCAATTTTGGCTCATCAGTTGTTACAAATGTACCAATACAAGACATAAATAGGAGAAACAATGTCCAGATGAAAGGCATAAATGAGAAACTCACAATTTTTGTGTAAAGCTAAAAGTGCTTTAAAAAAAATAGTTTCTTTGTGGGAGGAAGGGACCTACATGCTTTGCTATGTCTGGTGAACTGTTACTTACATAGTTACTTACACAATGATTTACAGACTGAAGAGTTAATATCTAAGTTTTAATCTTACACAGTTACTCAGTTAATATACTTTCTAACTGAAATTTGCACCATACTGTTGGGGAAGTGATATAATTAAACTGTGGTAACTAAATGTCCATATGGAACCATGCAAAACAGGGCTTTCTGTATTTATTGATATTTGTTGGAGACTTAACATGTTAAAAGATTATGAAAATGGGGGAAAACATTATACTGGTGACAAAATACAGGAACAGGAGCATGGTTGGTCCACTTATGAATCTTAGAGGTATAATACTTAAACTGCCCATACTTAAACTATGCCCTGATGCGTCTCAACATTCAGTTCAGCCAGTTTATTAATGGCATTTGTGTTTATTAATGGAATGTGTCAGCTCCAGGGTTACAGGTGAGGAGAGACAACTCAGGGACGCCCAAAGTAGCAAGTGGGAAGAGCAGGAGAAAGGGGATTAAAAGCCAGGAAGCCAGAGAGAAGAGCAATCAGCCGAAGGGATTAGGTGAGGAGAGGAAACTCAGGCCTGCCCAGATAAGCAGGCCGGAAGAGCGGGAGAAAGGGGATAAAAGCCAGGAACCCGGACATAAGAGCAGTCAGCCCCAGGATTACAGGTGAGGAGAGACAGCTCAGGGACGCACAAAGTAGCAAGTGGGAAGAGCGAGAGAAAGGGGATTAAAAGCCAGGAAGCCAGAGAGGAGCAATCAGCCAAAGGGATTAGGTGAAGAGAGGCAACTCAGGCCCACCCAGAGTAGCAGGCCGGAAGAGCAGGAGAAAGGGGATAAAAGCCAGGAACCCGGACACAGGAGCAGTCAGCCCCAGGGACAACTCAGGGATGCGCAAAACAGCAGGAGAAAGGGGATTAAAGCCAGGAAGCCAGACAGAGGTACAGTCAGCCACAGGGACCCAGTTGGGGGTGATACGAGAGGTCTCCAACAGCAAGACAAACTTGTCTGTCAGATTGTCCTACTGTGCTGACATGTAGACGTGAGTTTTGAGGCTGAACCTCTGGTGTTTAACCCAGCGAGATGCACCTAGTGCACAGGTAACAGTCCAGCTTATAGACTGAGACAGACTAGGAAGAAGGAAGAGGCCGTCCACTTCTCAAAGAATTGGCCAGG